TTTACACCACCAATCTTAGAGTCCTGATCCTGTAGGGACACGCAGTCCAGCAGATCTGTAGGGGCTCCTGACTAAACCCCAACAGTGTCAGACTGGAGCTGAGCTGTACTGCACTGTGCTGTGATTTTACCCTGATCTCACTGGGCTGTACTTCACCGTACAGGACTGTACTTACACACAGTGTCCTGGGATCTATACTGAACAGCAGTCAGGACACTGGGGTTGACACCCCTACTCTTACACAGTGTCCAGGGATCTGTACTGACCAGCAGTCAGAAGACTGGGTCCACACCACTACTTTTACATACAATGTCCTGTACTGACCAGTAGTGTCTCTCATTTGTAATCCTTCTTATGACAGAGAAATATGGAAGATATATTATATTTATATTTAATTAATTACTGTGAAAAACAGAGATCATCAGACCAGGACACCGAGTATAACCCCAGTACTGTACAGACCAGTACAGAGCACTGGGACTGCAGCTGGGAGACACCAGTAACTTTAGATTCTCTATTAAACCATATATTACACACTCCAGAGAGTCAGGACTGTGTCACTACTATATGAAACAGAGATCAGCAGAGCAGGTAACCCAGTATAAACCCCAGGGCTGTACAGAGCTGCACAGAGCTGCACATAGCACTAGGACCCAGGAGCTGGGACTCGGCAGTAGCTCAGAGAGGTATAAGAGCCAGCCTGAGCTCCAGTCAATACCCTTCCTGGGCTCCACACACTGGGCTCTGAAGCTAGAGATACAAGGTAAGAAATTGTCATCTTCACCATCTAACCCTGTCCACCTCCCGCAGAGAAGTGTTACTATTATTGAGAGGAAACATACTTGCATCAGCTGGGAAGTTTCTTCAGCAAATTCACTTGCTTACAAACTGACAGGTTTGAAAGTTTTCACAGCCCAGCAGAATCGGTCCCTTTCTGTTCTGAGGCCATACTAAAACATGCAGCCTGGTGCCTTCGCTCCTGGGTCCACTGAAAAGCCATTTCAAAGGTGGTGAAATGACTCTGGGATTGTAGTCATTGGGAGAAACCTCCCCTGTGGCTTGTGCATGAGTATAGTAAATGAACATGATACAGGTTTTTTTTTTCTGAAAACAGACAGGAAAGAGGAGAAAAGCACAACAGTTGTTTTTCTGGCAAGCAATCTGGTATGCGTTTCCGTGTTTCTTTCCCCGCAGTACGGCGTCCATTTTCAGGAAGAGGCTTCCTTAAAGCGACGGTCCAGGCGGAACGGACATGGGCCAGTGGCCGTCGGATCTAGTGGAGCACCACACAGAGACGGTGACGGTGACGGTGACGGTGTACACCTGCTGCATGTGTGGCACCACCCTCACCCCCCAAGATGTTCAGAGACACAGCAACAGAGTCTTCTGCTCCTCCTGCTCCAACCAGGAGATGAACAGGAGGACCCAGGAGGAGGCCGACCAGCGGCTCCGGCAGCTCAGGCTCCAGGAGGAGGAGGAGGGCAGGAGGAAGGAGCGGCTGGAGCATGAGCGCATCATGAGCGAGCACCGGAAGAAGCTGGAGGAGCAGGAGAAATCACAGAAAATCTGACCCCCTGGAGTCTCTCCCTATACTAGAGAAAAATAATAAAGTCAGTAGTTCTAAAACTGTCTGTCGTGTAACTTCATTAGTTCGAGGTGTTTCACAGTCAATATAATCAGAACCACTTCAATCAACTTTTTACTTTCTACGTGTGACCCAGCAAAAACATTTTTCATTTTCCACATTATACACACTGATGGGAGCGTTGTGTCCTCATGCATGACAGTATATTACTATAAGCTCACAGTGTATATT